ACCACTGCACTCCAGCCTGGACGACAGAGTAAGACTCCGTCTCAAAAGAAAAAAAAAAAAAAATGAGTAAAGGTCAATCTAACTCGTCTGACAGCTTTGTCTCTGAAGACAAGGTGCCTCTGGACAATTGAGGTAAAGGCATCCCTTCCTCCAGGTAGATGCAACTTCGTTCCAGGGATTCTGGCTTAGCAAGCAGAACCAAGGCTGGATATCAGCTGCAGTCACTGGAGCAGTGCACAACCTGCACCACTGTGCAAGGCTAGCAGTGGTTGGTATGGTTGTCTACATGATGATGCATGAGGGTTTTAAACAGTCCAAGCCTTGAGAAAGGGAAAGGAATTATGATGGCCCAGACCCTTGACCAGATCTCCATCTCATGTTGAAATTAGAAGCGTGTCTTGTTGACCCTGAGCCCTCTTCCTCTCCTTCTAGGTGACTTGCTTTTGGAGGGCTTCAACAACTACACCTTTCTCTCCAATGGCTTTGTGCCCATCCCAGCAGCCCAGGATGATGAGATGTTCCAGGAAACCTTGGAGGCCATGGCGATCATGGGTTTCAGCGAGGAGGAGCAGCTATGTAAGCCTCACACCTTGAATCTGGAGGGTAGCCTGCCTGGGTACCAATGGAACCTGTTAAGAATTCTTCTCTGGTCAGGACAGATTTCTGCTCTCTGAATTCCCCACTTTCCATTAAAAAAAAAAAAAAAAGGGAGGAAAATGAATTTTATTCTAGGTGGTTTGTTTGTTTTTTGTGTTGTAGAAAAGTGGCTGTATAACTAGGACTCTTTTAGTTGCAAGTAACCCAAGCTGGCTTAAACCAAAGGGAAAGTGACTAACTCACAATGTTGAAAAGTTCAGAGAGGTTGGGCACAGTGGCTCAGGCCTGTAAACTCAGCGCTTTGGGAGGCCAAGGTGGGCAGATCACTTTAGGTCAGGAGTTCGAGACCAACCTGGTCAATATGGTGAAACCCTGTCTCTACTAAAAATACAAAAAAGTTAGCCAGGGATGGTGGTGCACACTTGTAGTCCTAGCTACTCGGGAGGCTGAGGTGGGAGGATTGCTTGAACCCAGAAGGCAGAGGTTGCAGTGACCCAAAATCATGCCACTCCACTCCAGCTTGGAAGATGGAGCTAGACTCCATCTCAAAAAAAAAAAAAAAAAAAAAAAGTTCAGGAATTCAAGCTTCAGGTATAGTGAGATCTAGGTGCTCAAAAGATGTTTCTAGAACCTAATTTGTCTTCTATCTCTCTCTTGACTACATTGTCTCTCTATAGGATGCAGTTTGTTGACAACGATATGGCTGGGTTCCAGCCCTTAAATTCTTTGAGTTTATGTCTAAAGAACAGAGTAGATTCCCGGCTTAACTTTCTGAACGGAGTGTCATTGACTCTGACTGGTTGATATGCACATTCCTGAGCTATGCAACATAGGCAGGGTTGTGGAAAGCACAGGGTGGTTTCACTATGGTCCCTAAGAATGGATTCTTGGAGCTGAAGATAGAGATGTTGGCTTCATCAGAAACATGTGGGAGGGGGAGTGATCGAGGCAGTGGTTTTACTCAGGCTCTTCCTGGAGGAGTTGCTCTGGTGATCGATTGATATTGATCAAAATCACCCAACCAATGGCCAAGAAACATACTGGGTCTTGAGAACAGGACAGCTCAGAAAGAAATACTTGTTCAGGACACTGTGTTTTCAGAAACACTTTTCCTTCTGGGTTAGA